ATGTGACGTCCAGCCTCTGCACCAAAAGGCATGTGACATCCAGCCTCTGCACCAAAAGTGCCGCCGGCTCTTGGTCCACCAAATTCTTGGAACCCATGAGACGTCCACCTGAAACACAGATGTCCTGGGGGCACAGGACAGGGACTGTGCAGTGAAGGGTTAACCTGGCAGACCTGGGCTGTCCACACCCTGCACATTCCAAACAAAGGTCTGGCCTTTGGCTCCTGAGAAGAGACCTCTGCCCTTGGAATGTCCTGCCTGAGAGGACAGTCTTTGTGTACCTGGGCCTCAGGCCACCCGGTGGCCTACACTGACACACCAACTGCATGAGTCATCGTGGGGCCCCGGGCTACCTCCATGGGCGCCTCCGCCACTCCCCCAAGCCCCCCAGCGGGCGCCTCCGCCACTCCCCCGAGCCCCCAGCCTTTCTGCTCACCTCACTACGTCACCTGACACTCTGCGCACCACGGGACGAGCCTGTCCGCAGGTCTCGCCGCTCAGACCACTTTCGTGGGCGCCTCCGCCACTCCCCCAAGCCCCCCAGCCTTTCTGCTCACTTCACTACGTCATCTGACACTCTGCGCACCACGGGACGAGCCTGTCCGCAGGTCTCGCCGCTCAGACCACTTTCGTGCTGGAGGGGAGGGGGCTGACGCGCCCTGACCGACAACCCTCCCTCCTTCAGGGCTGCGCCTCCCGCGGGCGGTGGGAAGCGATGGGGGGCCTCCTCTCCTCGTCCTTTAATGCACGAGGCAGCCCCTCTCTTCCAGCACGTTCGCGCCCGTGAGAGTTCCCGGCTAGACGGACTGACGCCCCACCCTGTGCGGTTTGTCCTGTATCACACACATGCCCAGACCTCAGAGCACTGGGACTTTCTTCCATCCCTCGGTCTATCCGTTTTGTTGACGTCTGAGGGAAGAAAGCAATGGAGGCATACGACGGGCTGGGACCGGAGGGCAGCCGGGCAGGGGGCTCCCTGAGGTGGCAGCCCCTCCGCACAGCAGACGGCGCCCAGGGCAGGTAAACACCGAGGGCCCGACGCTGCTCTGCCGTGAACGGGGTCTGTTACCATGAATTCGGGGAAACACAAAGTGAATTTTAACACATTTATAAATTAAATGCACCCACCCTTTTTACATTTAAAATTTTAAATCTGCCCCGAAAATGAGCAAAGTGGGAAAGTTAGTAACAGGTGCAACACTAGTTGGTTGTGTTTATATCCAAGTGGGTGAAACCATAACTAACACAAATAAACTCTATTAGTCGTTCCTGAAGCCCGGGGTGAGGGCTGAGTCCTGACTATCAAACAGTCCCCCAGAAAGACCCACCACCCGTGGTCACACCCCAAGCCCCCTGGACACACCCCACATCCCCTGGAGGCCCCCACGCCCCCTGGACACACCACATGTCCTCTGGACACACCCCACGCCTCCTGAAGGCCCCCACGAACCCTGGACACACTCCATGCCCCCTGGACACACCCCACGTCCCCTGGACACACTCCACGCCTCCTGGAGGCCCCCACGCCTGCTCTCCCTGGCTCCAGCCCTGAGAACTCGGCCCCCGCCCCTTCTGCCATGCTCAGGACACTCTGTGTGGTCAGTGCCGATGGCCCCCACAGCTCATGTTAATCCCACAAGGTGGCAAGGTCTTGTCCTCAGCCTGGTCTCCTGCAGTTCTGTTCTGCACAGCAAAGGTGGCGATGCCAGGCCCAGTCCCCGTCCCTGCTCAGCCTCCGTGGAGGGGCACCCCGTGCACCAGGGGACCAGCACCACTTCCTAGGACCCAGCCCTGTACCCGGGCTAGGGCCTGGACCCCTGCCCATGGCACTCTGTCCACTGGCTCGTCACTCACTAGCCACCCGGGTCCAGGCCCAACGTCCTCTTGACACCCTGACCCACACCTGCTGCCACAGCTCCTCCTGTCTGCGCCCCCTTCCAGCACTCGCCTGAGCGGAGGAGAGCACCTCGGCTGGTCTACTTTCCCTTTATGCTCTTTTATTTAAAAGCCATTTTCGGGTCCAATTTGAGGATACTGCAAGGAGCAGTTCGGACCCACAGACAAAGAGAAAATTCTGAGCCAGCTCATGTGGACAGCCTTGTTCTTCAGGCAGAGAGGATGCCGGTGCCAGAGGCCAATCAGCAGGTGAGAGTGTCTCCGTGCGGGCAGGTGAGAGGGGCGGCAGGTGAATTACCATTCACCCGGAGGGTACCCAGGCCGGAGCAAAGTGGCTGGTTTCTGCCTGAGGGTCTTGGCTGGGTCTGGGGCAGGGGCTGCATCTCGGGAAGCCCCAAGTGGGCCCCACACCTCTTCCACCCCAGGACCTGGGCTTATGTTCCTCAAAGTCACGAGGGGGATGGGTCATCCACTCAGCAAATGCTCACTGGCATGGTGGTGTCAGCGCTGAGCTGGGGCAGCCGGGGCTCTGGGAACTTGAGGCCCAGGGAGATGCCCAGAGCGGGCATCACAGAGCCACACGCATGCAGACCTCGGTCCTCAGTTTAGGAGGGCACACACTGACACTAGGTTGGGAACATTCTCTCATGTTGAGCTGCCAAGGCCCCTTGAGAGGGGGACAGAGCAGGAGCAGAGACATAGAGGTGGGACCCCGCAGCGCCAAGGCCAACTCCATGGCCAGCGGCAACATGGGAGGGAACCTGGCTCTCCCGTTGACACTGGCCTCCTGGGTGTCACAACCAGCAGCGCCCAAAGACTCAGCGCTGAGCCAGCATGCAGCAGGTGCTCCATAAACTCAACATCACTCTGAGCAACACTGTCCTGCACCCGCAGCGTGTGTGCCTGGCGGTCCCCAAGCCAGGCACGACCCACACCCCAGGGCCCACCGCCCATGTCCTACCGGCCCTCGGCTCCACCGTCCGGTTGGCCCCTTCATCCATGAACACAAACCGCCCTCCGCCAAAGTCCTCCAGGTAGTCGGACAGGTACAGCAGCGAGGTGTAGTCGAAGGAGCCGTAGGTCACCTGTGGGCAGAGCCGGGAGGGAGCGGTCAGACATCCCGGTCCTTGTGCGGAGCGAGGCTCCTGATACAAGGCCGGGGCCTGCGAGCGAGGCCCTTCAGTCCCTCCAGCTTCAGGACAGCCTCTGCCGCGTGCACATGGGGCGGCTTGTGCGGAGCGAGGCTCCTGATACAAGGCAGGGGCCCGCGAGCGAGGCCCTTCAGTCCCTCCAGCTTCAGGACAGCCTCTGCCGCGTGCACATGGGGCGCACCTTCCCCTGGGATTCCCCGCACAGCCAAAGTGTCTGAGCAGCTGCGCATGGCAGACGCCTGAGGTGACGGCCACAGCCGGTGACGCACGGGAGCGAAGGCAGCGGCCGAAAGCACTTCTGCGTGTTTCTTCACGGGGGGGATCCCAAACTCTTTTTTTAATTGTGGTAAAATACACATGAAATAAAATTTACCATCTTAACCATTTTCAGTGCACAGCTCAGTGGCATTAGGCACATTTACACCACTGTGTGACCGTCACCACCGTCCACCTCCAGAACGTTTTCATCTTCCCAAACCAAAACTCTGTCCCCATTACATTAAACACCAGCTCCCCATCCCCCGCCCCGGCCCCTGGCCCCACTGTCTACTGTCTGTGTGAATCTGACCACTCTAGGGACTGCTCATGAGTGGAGTCACGCGCTACGTGTCCTCCTGTGACTGGCCCCTCCACTGGGCACAACGTCTCGAGGCTCATCTGTGCTGCAGCACCCATGCTCTGCGAGTGACAACTCAGCCCACACCACACCCTGGGGGCTGGGGAACGTGGTCACTGCGTGGGAGCTGCTTCCCCACCAAGTGACTGCCCTGTGGAAGGGGACGGGGGTCTCTGCCCGGCTCAGCCATCAGAGGGTGGAGGAAAGAGATGCTCTGGGGAGGGAGGGGGATCCATTACATTAAACACCAGCTCCCCATCCCCCGCCCCGGCCCCTGGCCCCACTGTGTACTGTCTGTGTGAATCTGACCACTCTAGGGACCGCTCATGAGTGGAGTCACGCGCTACGTGTCCTCCTGTGACTGGCCCCTCCACTGGGCACAACGTCTCGAGGCTCATCTGTGCTGCAGCACCCATGCTCTGCGAGTGACAACTCAGCCCACACCACACCCTGGGGGCTGGGGAACGTGGTCACTGCGTGGGAGCTGCTTCCCCACCAAGTGACTGCCCTGTGGAAGGGGACGGGGGTCTCTGCCCGGCTCAGCCATCAGAGGGTGGAGGAAAGAGATGCTCTGGGGAGGGAGGGGGAAGGGGTCACGCCCACACTGACAGAGCACCCCCCACGTGCGGGACGCTGAGCTGGGCGCAGTCACACTCCTAGAGCCACGCGGTGCCGTGCAGAGCCCAGACTGGAAGCCGGACTCCAGGGCTCCCGGTGTGGGCGAGTCGGTGCACTTCCCAGGCCGCACCGATCCTCCAGGAAGGGAATCTGCGCCTCCTCTCGGAGGTGGCTCCTGCCAAGGGCCTGGCCCCGCTTGGTGCTGAGGAGCTGGAGGCTCTGCTGTCATGTATCCGCACAATCAGCTAGGGAAATCCAGTCCCAAGTCGTGCCCTGGGGAGGCGGGCAGAGCCGCACCCCTCGGGGGGCCAGAGGCTCCTCCTGTCGGCTTCCCTCCTCCCTGCCTTCCTCCTGCTCCCGGGACGCCCTCCCAGAAGCTTCCCACACACACATCCCTGGCCAGGCTCTGCCTCGGGGAGCCCAGAGTAAGACAGTTATCGACTGAGCAGAGCGGGTACAGAACAGCGCACCGCCTCCTGCAGAAAAGGGGATCCAGGCCACACTCCACAACATAACCTGCCATTAGTTGCCTTATTTTAGGTGACAGGAAGAAAAAACATTGCCAAGTTTTTTTTTAAATGTTATTCTTTACAACTGACAGAATGCAGTGTTTTTATGCATTTGCTTTTATACACATAAGGAAATCTGAGAAGGAGTTCCAAAATCTCACCATCTTGGGTATCCAAGTAGATGAGGGGCTACTGGGGAAGGATGGAAAACATTTCACTATTCACTTTTTATGTTTTTTATGTATTTTTATTCAAAGCAATTAAATTTAAAATAAAGTACGCTGAATGGAGCTCCAACAGAACAACATGAAAATCACCCAGGTTTTTAAATAGTTCTGTTTCACTGAAGCAAACACCTTTGCTAATTAGAAAAATACAAATTGGGCCGGCCCGTGGCTCACTCGGTAGAGTGCGGTGCTGATAACACCAAGGCCCCGGGTTCGGATCCCACATAGGGATGGCCGGTTCGCTCACTGGCTGAGCATGGTGCTGACAACACCAAGCCAAGGGTTAAGATCCCCTTACCGGTCATCTTTAAAAAAAAAAAAAAAAGAAGAAGAAAAAGCAAAACTCAGGGGCTGGTTAGTTAGCTCAGTTGGTTAGAGCACAATGTTGTGACACCACGGCCAAGGGTTTGAATCCCCTTACTGGCCAGCTACCAAAAAAAAAGAAAAAGAAAAACCTCAGAACTTTGTTAATACTGAACATGTAGTAATATTTTCATTGCTCACTGTTTATCGGATGCATGTTCAGCCATCAAACAGAATGAAATGTTTTTACTCTTCCTATCAATAATTATAATGCTGACCATTTTTTCCAGCCTAGTTTTAAACCATTGAATTATGCTTTCTTCTCTCTTTAATGTGATATTTTAGCAATGTGTAAGGCCTTCTGGCTACATATACATCCTCTAGAATCAGCAGTTTTATGTATTAATGTTCCTTGTTAATAGTCGTGGGTCCGCAGAAGGCTGGAGAGATGCTGACCAAGGACAAGCGGCTTTCCTGGCCCTCTCCTGTGGCTTGTTCTGTGCTGGTGAACGTCCAGGGACAGCACATACAGGAAACAGAAAGGGGGACAAAGATTTCCCAGCATGGGCCACTATGGTCACGCAGGCGGCAGCAGCTCCACAGCAAAGTGCCCGGCACCCAGGCTGCTGCCACCAACACTCAGAGCACCTGAAAAGGCTGGGGAGGTTTAACTGTAACCCCAAATCTTTGGACCCCTCAATTTGTCTTGTTCACTTAGGTTTACTGTTTTAATGACAAATAGCAGAAGGCCAAGACAGAGCAAGTCGACTGGACTCTCTCCCCTCGACTAACTGCAACTAAAAACTGCAGAGTGAAAAAAGAAGCCACCTGAGGACTCAGAAAAGCAAACCTTAGCAGGCAGACGTCAAAACTCGAATAACAACCTGAGGGCGGGCCCAGTGGAGGAATTGCATGGGGTATGGATGTTAAAAACACCCCCTGTGCTGAACAGCTCGGGAGAACCTTTGCCCTCTCAAAGGCCAGCTGCAGCCAGCGAGCTGCATAGATGAAGTGCCAGCACTGTGGGCACCCAAAAACCTGAGAGAGCCCTTCTGTGGCCAGAGGAACTGGAAAGGGATGCTGTTGTCTGAGGCCCGTGGGGGATCCCTGCTATTTCTCCTCTTTATTTTCTTGCTGCTTCATCCTGAAGGTGGTCCCACGTCACACAGAATTCACTACTGCATGAAGGGCTAAGAGAGAGCTGGCTTCTGGCAGGAAGAACAGGGAAAAGGGGTCCCTGCAAGCCACAGAGTATGGGGCAATTCCCTGAGAGGAGAGAGCTGGAAAAGGAGATACCCTAAGTCTGTACATGGACCAATACAAGTCTTTGGCTCACCCCACCCCTCCCCCAGCACATGTGCAGAAGAGACCAAAGCCTTCAAGGACTGGACTGTGACACACACCACCATCCGAGCTATCCACAAGTGGTGCATGCCATCAACCAGACCCACACAGCAGAGCAAAGGCTTTGAAAACAACCAATATTGGAACTACCACCCACAGAGGGCAAGACACAGTCTGTGGTCTGAATGGAACCAGACTGCCTGCCTGATAAAAGAAATCACTCAACATTCTCCAGAGAATTTTGAGGATCCAGAGTCTCACAACATTTAAAATGTCCATGATACAATTCAAAATTATTCAATGTAAAAAGAACCAAGAAAATCTAACCAATTCTCAAGGGAAAGGACAATCAATAGATGTCAACCATGAGATGACCCAGATGTTAAAAATATCAGCTGAATACTTTATCCATCTGCCAATCTCCACCTTTTAATTGGAGTGTTTAATCCATTTACATTTAATGTAATTACTGATAAGGTGGGATTTATATCTGCTAGTGTGCTATTTTTTTTTCTTTATGTCTCATGTCTCTTTGGTCCTCTAGTTCTCCATTACTATCTTCTTTTGTGTTAAATATTTTCTAGTGTACCATTTTAATTCCCTTGTCATTTATTTTACTATATATATTTTTTGTTTTTAGTTATTTTCTTAGCAGTTACGTTGGGAATTACAATTAATATATTAATTAGATTTATAACAATTTAGTTTAAATTAATACCAACTTAGTTTCAATAATAAAGACTTTGCTCCCGTATAGTTCCATTCCTTCCCTCTTCCTTTGTGCTGTTATCACATAAATCATGTCTTCATACACTGAGTGCCTGTCAACACAGATTTATAATTATTGCTGTATGCATTCGTCCTTTAAATCAGACAAAAGAAAAAAGGAGTTACAAACAAAAAACACTTTTGACCTCCCCGTTATGTTCACCTACATAGTTTCCCGACTGACACTCTTCATTTCTTCATGTGGATTTGGGATACTGTCTACTGTCATTTCATGTCATCCTTTAGTATTTCTCACAGGGCAGGTTTGCTAGTGATGAATTCTCTCCATTTTATTTATCTGGGAATGTCTTAATTTCTCCCTCATTTTGTAAATCTTAAAAATTGAGATATAGGGGCCAGCCTGTGGCTCACTTGGGAGAGCGTGGTGCTGACAACACCAAGTCAAGGGTTGATTGCTTACAACACCAAGTCAAGGGTTGAGATCCCCTTACCGGTCATCTTTAAAAAAAAAAAAAGGGTTTTCCAGTAATTATATGTTGGGAGTGGGGAAAGGATATCTGCTTCATCCAGCTCCTCTGTAAGATCCCC